CAGTCGTATCCTCTCATCCGGGCCGCTTTTATTTGTCCCACTCTGTATTATGAGTATGCGCATAGAATAAATAATTCTAGAACAGAACACAACACTTTCTGTAGATTATAATCTTGTGATAGATATATGGCTGATATAATTATATAATAATTAATATGATTGATATGTTTTGATATAATGTAATTTTCAGTAGAATCTAATTGACGTGGAACCTTAAAACGAAATGTTTACTATTAAAACAGCGATTCTCAAACTGTGGGGTGCCCTTCTAAGGGGGCGTGGAAACTACGTGGGTGGAGTGAAGTCTAAAATAAAAGATCAGATAAGCATTTATACTGATACGATATGCTTATAAACGTATCGGTACGGCACAATGTATTTGCTAGTTAATTTATCAATACTAAATTTAGAACAAGTTTAAAAATGACTTGTGACTTCCATTTGCTTGTCTTGTAGAACAAGGGTTTTTCAAAGGAAGGTTTAATATTAGAAGTTGCTATATTTAGTGGAAATCTATATGGGGATGTTTGGGGAAATAAATATTAAACTTAATTAAATGTAAGTTACATAATACTTTTTTATTACTTAAAATATGCATTACTGAAAAGTAACATATACAAAATTCTATCCGTACCATGATAATTTGTATGGTTTATAATTAAGGAGGTGTTGTAGCTTTAGCGTCAGCGTACATTATTATTGCATTTAAAACATTGATACTGTATGGGGGAGGAGCGATGAAAATTAAAATTGAAAATTGGTTTTCAAATAATGAATATTTGAGAGGCATTATATTGAGAACTCCTACGATATAATTCTTGAAATTTTTATATTGCATGGGGAAAAAAACTTCCCATTTGAAGAATATTCATGATAGTTTCTTACCAATTTTAAACCACATCTTCTTTAAATATTTGCATCTAGATACCTTAGAACAGTGTTTCTCAGACTGTGGGTCGCGTCCCCTTGGGGGCGTGACAACTCTGCGAGGGAGGCGCGAGCATATTGAAAAGTCGAAAACAAAAGATTATTTTTAGAAAAATCATTAATTTACTGAAAGTAAGCAAACAAAATACATTCTGACTAATATAAAAATGAAATACATATTTACACTGATATATTACACTAATAAATATATCAGTTCTACAGAATGTATTTTAAATTTAATTTAACAATATACACTAAGTTAAGAACAAGTTTATTAATTACCAGTGACACCACGAAACAAAAAATAACACTTATCTTGGTAATTTTTTTATACGGTTTATAATGAATCTCATAACTGCCGATTAAAACTGATGCAATTCGCTTCACAATGCCATTCATTTTCCACATGGGCGCGCGTATGTGATGTATTGGGGGATAAAGAAGCAAATAATCTGAAATAAGTAAATCCTTAGCAAACATTGAATAAATCCTTTTATTGCATTTCAAAGCTTTCAGAATAATTTTATGGATAGCAGTGCACAGAACAGATCATTCTTCGGAAAGGCGTATATATACGTCCGGGGAAATAAACGTTTTGGATTAGCGAGACGTTTATATACTCCGGGGGTACGTAAGAGTTTAAAGTCGTATTGTAGTTTGGCGTCAAAGTATAGTATTATTGAATTCAATATATTGTTATTGTATGAGGGGGCGAGATGAAAATTATGATTGAATATTGGGTCGTGATTATGGCAACTTTGAGAAGCACTGCCTTAGTACGAACAATATTACTGATATGTTTTATTTATATAAATCACGAATTCATTTATCTAATAATTTTCCTAAATATATAGTTATGTAAAATTCGTAGCGATACATCGAAAATTATTTCTATTTAAATGTAAATAAAATTGCTTAGAACATAGAGCCTCCAGAGTCGTAAATTTTATATGACCAATAAGTACTTTTTCCCTTAAGGTTATGTTTCGCCTCTTTAGGTATTGGATGTTCCATAATATATGACCTAAAACGTGACACGATAGGGTTTCTACGCTAAAGCGCTTCGGTTGCATTCTTGAGTTCTTGTAAATATTTTAAGGCCTTATTTATTACTATGCAGAAAAGGACGGCATGTTTAGAAGTACAGTGAAATCCTGGATAGTTTGATTCCCTCATTGAGGTACTGAATTAATTTTTATATTCCATTGCTTATACGCTAAAAGTTACTCAATTGGAATCTGATTCGGATCTTATTTTGCTAAAGATTTTTAAAAATATTCTAAAATATATATACATCCAACTCTCTTTTACACGTTTTTTTTTAAATAAAATGAAAAAAAACAACTCTAATTTTCCTTTTATTTAAAGAATGTTTTACTTTAATATAAGTTGGAATGTTGTTCGATATGTGCAAAATGATGAATGTAAGTTCCAACTGTTAATTGCTTGTTTGATTTTTAAGGCTTTAAATTTGATGTAAATTCTGGAAAATTACTAAAACGAAGGATGTGCCCTTAAATTCCTGCAAGATTTGAAGAGGTATTTAGTTGGGAGGTTAAAATTCTATAAAAAGGATAGTAATTGATATTCTTATAACTGTAACTTACTGTCCCAAGCAGCAGTATCACACTAGTGAACACTTATCTTCAGTGTAGCTTAGGTGACGGAATAATTTGGTCGGTATACAAAACCATCCAGGTTCTTTGCCATTATTTTGTTAATGATATTTCTTGAACAGGTGTAACTTATCATAACTTAATAAATAATTGTTAAAGAACCTTCCTACGGATTTGTCACATTTAGATTAATATTAAACGTCTAAAACGCTCTACAAGCTTGAAATACTGAAATGCAAATAAAAAATATCAGAATAAACAAATAGCTGTATAGTTAATATAATAATTTCTCTAGCGAGAAAAATGGTTTTGATTCCCTTTTCCAGTAAATCAATGCATTTATAATCTTATTTATCATCATTTATTATTTTGTCATGTATTTTGTCTTTTTTAATTTACAGTAGTAATGTCTTTTGAGGCAATATGTGCGCATTCGTTATTAATTGAAACATATATGAATTCCACATAAAAATTAGTAAATGTATATGTAATGTTAAATGCATACACCAGTGCTTCTCAAAGTTTCAATGTTCACGACCCAATATTCAATCATAATTTTCATCGCCCCCCCTCATACATAACAATGCATTGAATTCAATAACACTATACTTTGACGCTAAAACTACGATATGACTTCAACCTCTTAAGTACCAACGGCGTACATAAACTTCTTGTTCAGCCATAGCGTTAATTTAACCGGACGTATGTGTAAGTCTTTCCGAAGTATGATCTTTTCTGTGCACTGCTATACATAAAATTATTCGGAAGGCTTTGGAATGCAATAAAAAGATCTTCACAATGATTGCGAAGGATTTACTTATTTCCGATTATTCGCTTCCTTATTCCTTCCCCCCTCAATACATCACATACCTGCGCCTACGTGGAAAACGGTTGGCATTGAGAAGCGAATCGCGTAACTTTTAATCGGCAGTTAAGGTATTAGTTATAAATCGTACAAATTATCAAGATAAGTGTTAGTTTTTGTGTTTAAGTTTATACATGACAATCCCATGAGTTTATGGTAATTCTTAAACTGGTTCTTAACGTAATATTGTTAAATTAATTACAAAATACATTGTGTAGCACTGGTACATTTATAATTGTAATATATCGTTGTAAATGTCTTTTTTGTTATGTCAGAATGTATTTTCTTTGTTTACTTTCAGTAAATTAATAATTTTTTTAAATAATCTTTTGTTTTCAACTTTTCAATATGCTCGTGCTCCTCTCGTAGGGTTGTCACGCGCCCCAAGTGGGGCGCACCCACAGTTTGAGAAACGCTGGCTTACGCGTAAAAGATTAATTATATAAATGTGTTGCTGTTTTTAGCCCACTTGATCCATAGAAACAACCAGTTCAAGTCCATGAACCCGTGCGTTTTGAACCATGAACTGTAGCCGGACTTGAGAGTAGTCGTCTTTTACGGCAACCAATACAAGCCAAGATGTGGGCAGAAGCATCTTGCGTCGCATTGCAATTCAGATTGGGAGTGTAAATTTTAAAATCCACTGAATATAAAAATATTTCACTTGATTTAAAACATGTTTTTTCGAGAATATTTTGTCTGGTTACAGTCGTTGAAAGTGTGAGACTTTTTAGTTATTTTAATATATGCATTTCATTGACGATCACAAAACATAAGCGGACTGCTCGAACAACACAAATATGAGTGTTAACAATGCAAGGAACACCATCATCCTTCTCTTTCACACCAGAAATCTCAGCTTTTATAGTTTCCTCAACTGTAAAAGATTTATGATTTCTGTTAAAAACTTTGATTGATCGGAATACGTGGAGGCTGCAATATTGCATCGTACTTTTTTAAAAATGCAAACCTGGTAGCTTTTTAGAAGACAAATTTGTGTGTGTGATTAACTGTATATTTCTTGTTAGGTGGATAAGCTAAAACTTAATTATCACGATAAGTCTTGGAGGGTTGAAGAGACTATTATGAATTAAATAAAATATATCGAGAGAGAAAATTTAAGTGCTCAATTTTTACATATATAAAAACTAGTTGAGTGGTTTTGTATTATCAAACTTTTACACTCGAATTTTAAAGTAAATAACGTTTCTGAAGTTATACATCTTTTGGGGCGTTAGAAAAATAGGATGAGGGTAAATTTTAACAATGCGCGCGCACACCGTCACGGATGCCAAAATCCGTTGCCCCGAAATATACAGAACGGCACAAATCATTCCCACCTTCGAAATTCTCAGAAAAATATTTCTCTTTACTTCCCTGAAGTAGGGGGACACCCGGGTTTGAACCGGAGATTTCTCGATCTGTAGGCGAATGCTCTACCACTGAGCTATACACTCCCGTTAGCGAAACTTTGCTTTGTGTTCCGTAGGAATATATACGAAAATGCTTTTTCTAGAAATATACAGAACGGAACAGATCATTGCCGCCTTCGAAATTCTCAAAAAATTTACTTCTTTTCACTTCCCTGAAAATGGGGGCACCCGTGTTTGAACCGGGTACTTCCCGATCTGCATTCGAATGCTCTACCACTGAGCTATACACCCCGTGTCAGAGAGTCTTTGCTTTGCGTTCCGTAGGAACGGATACGAAAATGCTTTGTCTAGAAATATACAGAATGGGACACATCATTCCCGCCTTCAAAATCCTCAAAACAAATTTTCTCTTCACTTCCCTGAAGAAGAAGACTCCCAGGTTTAAACCGGGGACCACTCGATCTGCAGTCGATTGCTCTACTACTGAGCTATACCACCGCGTCAGTGAATCTTTGCTTTGTGTTCCGTAGGAATGGATACGAAAATGCTTTGTCTAGAAATATGCAGAACGGGGCATATCATTCCCACCTTCGACCCCCTCCCCATATTATTGGTCCTATTGTCCCTGTGCGGGGGTGTTTAAATTTATTTAAATCGTGATTGTCTCAGGTTTGGCTGGTCTGATTGCCTGAAGGTTACTATCGTTCAACTCTGCTCGTGACCGCCTTACGTCCTTGGCCCAGCTTGCCCTGCAAAAGATTTTTAGAAAGATTTTAATCCTGAAAGATTTTAACCAAAGAAGTATAACTTCTTACGTGCATACATAAGTACACACACACTTTTTTAAAATTCAATTTTGTATTGTTTTTGGATATCGCGTCGTACACATCCTTTTTTTAGAAGGTAAATTATGTAAAATAGAGCTATATATATTCATCCAAAAATATTTTTTTAAAGTTGAGGTATTCCTTTCACTCTAGTGGAAAAAAGTTATCGTTAACTGTCTTGGTTTTATTGATCCGACTGAAAATCCAGCAGAGCGTAGGGAACCCACTCATAAAAAAAACTATCTCGGAAATTTATTGGAACATCTGTGTACACTTTTAAATCGATTTTTTATCCAATGCATTAAAAGGGGGAATATCTACCCATCTATCTAAAAATATTCCTAATTCGCATTCTCATATTGATTTGGCCCTTGCTTTTCGTTAATATTCAAATATTTACACTTTTCATATTGGAAACTTGTAACAACTTTTGTGATTTTAACTGATTTAAAATCATACAAAAATATTTCGAAGCTCCGTACATTTTTTGGTTATACCACGAAATTATAAGATATTTTTTTTCTATACGTATCGAAAAGTACTTAAATTAAAATTTAAATCGAAATGATTTGAAATATGTAAATAAAATTGAGAGATGGATGTCAAATACGATGAATATTTGATATTTGTATTTAAATTCAATTTTTTTATAGTACTAAAAGTTTAATATTTGCAGATTTCAAATTCAATTCCGAAACTATTTGGTAAGAAGTTGTTATTGATTTATGCATGAAGTTTATTCAGATCTCGGCGTTACTTAATTAAGATTAATTACAACCGTATACTGAATTGTACTTTAACAATCACTTCACAATATTTGTATTGGCTTTGTTGAAGTGTCAAAGGTTTCTACTCATTTATATAAAATTAGATAATTTGTCTTGTAGAATCTCTTGACTGTAGTAACGTAAATTTATGCAGCTTAAATGTTTATAGCGTATAAATTTTATCCCCTAGAAGATTTATATTTTTAACTATATAGTGTGCTGGTAAATATTTATATTTCATTTACGATTTAGAAAATCTACTTTTAAATTAATAAGTAGTATATATGAGAAATATAATTAATGAGATTACTAAAGATTATAGTGCATTATATTTTAATTTTTAATTATATAACCACTATTGATAAAACGTTTACTTATCGAAATTTATCAATCTATTTAAGAATTTGTAAAAGTTATTCCTATTTCTATACACATTCTTAAAGAAATATTTTTGAAAATATGTAATTGTATTTTATAGATTCTTCCTTTATTTTTAGTTCTTGCAGCATCATATATACATATAAATATACGCAAATATATATTTATAATAATTCCTTACAAAAGCCTTAAATGTGTTGAAATTTATCTTAGATATATTTAATTGACACTTTGATTGCAAATATGAATTTTTTTAAGATGATTCTTGAAGATACATTATACAAGCAATCATGAAAAATAGTATAAAAGAAGCAACAAAGTGCAAATGCAAAGCCTACGACGCACAAAAGCGTTTTTTTCTCATTTATAAGATCTTGGCTTATACATTCTTATATTATAGATAAGACCAGAGAGGGGAGATATTTTCTATGATGTAAATATACACAGAAGTGGCAGTAGTTTCATTCAAGAAATGTATAAAAGAGTTTTACATTGTCAGAAAACTTACGTTTATACTCAAATAATTCAAGTGGAAAGTTTTCTAATCTGATTATGACCGCATAGTATAGGAATTAACAAATCTTGATCAGAAATCAGCTTCTTGGGACATTTATAATTCGAAATTCTTAGGAAATATAACATTCCCCAATTCATAGAATCAAGAGTTGTCCGTAAATATATAGTTTCAAGGCATTACCTCCCACCATTGACAAAACTGTAGTATATCCCTACTAGTGACGCTGACTAGAGAAATCTGCGTGGAATGGTATTTTTACTAAACAAATAGCTTTTTGTCAAATAACAGCAACAGCTGATGGAGGTGGTTGACGGATATATCCATGAGGACATAGCAGATGTATTTCGTGTTTATGGAATAAAGCAGCAGCAGATCAACTCAAAATCCTTTTCTAAGAACAACACCTACAGTACCTCACAATTGCATATAAATCTAAAAACCAAGACTTAAAATATTTTTTAAAGCATCCAAAGCTTTAATAACAAACTCTACTCGAAATGGAGTCTCAGTGCTGAATAAATGCTTGCCATGCATTAAAATACATTTTTAATCATTAAGAATAAAAAAATTTTTTTTTTAAATAAGTTGCTTTGATTTTATAATTTTAAATTAAAATCATTCATACATTTACTTTAACTTGTATAAAATGATAATTTCTGTACCCACTTATTGTTTATTATTATTAATGACTAGAGGGCATTTTTTTTGCCTCCCATTCTATAAAATTTCAATTATATCTCTGATATTTCCGCAACTAAGACAGTGTATGGCAATATAATATAGCATTTTCTCTAGCCTCTTCAATAAACTTACTAAACTGACGGTGATTGAGTGCATGTGATCCTATTAATTATATATATATATTTATAATCATTTTCCGTACAAAAATTAAGGAAGAATGATGGAATGTACGATTAATGATTTTGAACTATACTGCCATTTTATGCGGTCTTTGACAAACTTTTATTCTTTTCACATATGTTTTTGTGTGTGCCACTATAAGTAGTAATACGTTTCAAGATTTGTTTTTCAGATCAAATTTTTTATTCCTAACATAGTCAGTTTTTGAGCCATTAAAGCCATAAATGCCAAGAGCCCCTGTATACCTTCATAGTTTTTAGCTCTTAGGATTAAACAGTTTGGAGAACTGTGATCCAGCTAATTAGACATGAATCTCATCGAGCATACACGGGTATGAACGAGAGATCATTTAATACACAAAATACTGCACAGGTAATACTTTTGCAACTACGGATGGCTTCAAAACAGAATGCTCAAGCGATATTTCAGGAGAATTTTAACGATTTGTTAATGTCGCATCGAATTGCTATATTTTGCATGGGAAAAAGGGGCATTAAACTTTAAATACTAATACTCTACGTGGTGTTTCATTATTTGTATTCAATGTATACATGTTTTAATAAATTTTATAAACTGTAAGGCATTGGCTCGTGGGTGCTGCCTTACTTCTAATTGTGATCTTCGTAACAGGGGTGTGGGAGTGAATGAAAAACAAGGCGTTCTCATAATGTTAATATCTCTTTATTAAGATGTTAACTTAAACACTATACAATGATAATATTTATATTTTAACTTAAAGGATCTGAGGTGAAGAAACGCACAATACGTATTACCAAATAAGCGCGATCCTGACCACTATATTTAACCTAACCGCTTACTCCTAACCTCTGTTTATACACAGTTCCTAGTAGTTAATAGAATTATCCTACCTTTATATCTTGGGAAGCCGCAAATCTCTGGGATCCTAAATGGCGTTATGGTTTATCTCGTGTGGAATGATATCCAGCTTGGCTTGACGCACTGGCTCGAATAGGTGAACTCTGCAATATCGGCTTATTTCAGCTTACGTGCTTAAACTCAGACTAGCATAATAACTTCCTAAAATGCCACCTTGCTTACGCTAAAAGTCTGCTATTTAAAAAGGTTCTTAATTTGCATAGTCACGTTTCGCTTCTGGATTTGGTTGGAAAGAATTTGCCTTTATCGGCCCCAAAGAACCCAAGAGAAATTTTTAGTATAAAGAGCGATGAGCCCGTCACAAAATGTTTCAGAAAGTTTCAGAATAAAAAAAGAAAGTTAATTTTCAATTTTTTAAAAAAAGAAAAATTGTTGTATATAGATCACAATTTTGTTATATTCAGAGCCAAAATTAATGAGACGGAATAAATATTATATGAAATCTTCGTTCTATAAGATGAGCAGTGAAAAATTCGAACTATCACAATTTGTCTTCAGCAATCGGTAATCTGTCTAAATTAGACACGTTTGGTAAAATTAACCTTTTGGGATTCAAAGGAGTATTATTTCGGGAAATTAGTTTTGATTGATTTGGATGCAGTTTTTTTTGCTTTTGCAAATTGCTTTTCTTACAACCAAAATGCATTGTAAATAATATGTTTATAGAATTTTATTTATAAATATAGATATTTCTATTTCGTAAGGTATCCGACTACGTTCGGAACTGTGATTTTGCAAAAGCCTATAAATGGATAATATTTATGATATTTAGTGTCCCTTAGATTAGAAAATGTATATAAAATTGTTTTATGAATAGTATTACAATAAAAAATTGTTTAAGTACACTATTTTGACAAAAAATGAACATAGAATGACCCATTTTCAAAATAGTCTCATTTTTTTGAAAAGTGCTTCTATTAGGTATAATAATATTTTGTCTGTATATAGCTCAGACCTCTCTGTAGAGGCTCAACTAGAATTTTTGAAATATATAACTTAGAAGTGAGTTTATCAATGTTTTACGACACAACAGAGGGGATAAATT